GATAACCCTGGCTAAATAACATTTATTATTATTATTACTGTTTTTTGAAGTGGAGTGAGACCAACATTGCGGTGCTTAGAAGTCACGTACCTTTGCGTATTATCTTTTCTACTAAAGGATTTTTCGCAGACAGCACAGAACCAATTCATGTCAACTCCCCAGGAGAAGAATATAGACTAACAAAAAGGTAGAATGTTTCTCATTTATACAGGTTTTCAGGCCATAAAATTCTATTGTTGTCCCTCCTCCTCCTCCTTTTCCTCCTCTTCATTTCTATTGTTTTCTCTCCTCCTCCTCCAAGAGGATCGAAGTTTGACTGTTCGACGATTTGTGCTAGATTAGGCATTTCTTAAGTCCAAAACTGGTACTTTTTGTTTCCGCTTCTTCTTTTTTTTCTTTGTCTCACTTGTAAACAGTTTCTAAAAGTTTTTCAACATTTTTACTTGCTCAAAGCAGAATAAAGGTGGAAACATTTTGCAAAGCAGCACTCTCGTAGCGATGACACACGATGGCAACTGTTGTGAAGTTTTCTAACATGCAGTTTAGGCATTCTCAAGTTGTCAATAACCCTTTTTCTCTCCTTTTTTTCATTTTGTTCTTTGTAAATAGCTCCTGCTAAACTTTCTTCGAGGCTTTCACCTGCCTAATCCGAAAAAATCTCTCAAACATTTTCAAAACTTCGAGCTATGTTGAACAAAACAAAGAAAACAATTTTTCAATGACGTCATCCATGTATCCTTACCCTAATCGATCATGGGCAACGACCAATTACAGGGCGTGTAGCATTCACATCATTGTATAAACGTTACCATTTTTTCTTACGCTTGGTGCTCCGCTGCGCGCGCTTCGCCTGCGCAAGAGTTCGGCTAAAACTTAATCAACGTTCATTTTCGTTTGTGCCTTTAAAAAAACAGACCTCAAAATTACATCCATAGATTGGATGCCAAACAATGCCGCGGCTTCTCGGAAATAATTGAGCAACTTGGTCGTTTTTTGACACGTGACTTATTTTGCGGAACTTCTCTGGTTTGCCATAGGGCAACCCAGTTTAAGAACCCCCGAAGAGGCTTGAACTTGAAGTCTGCCTCTTTGCACTAGTTCTCTGCATCATAAGTCATGATCGACCGTACCGTACTGTATCACGTGGCAAAAAACAAATTCCGATTTAAACAAAACAAAAATCCGATGTCGAAAAAACAAAGGACAAAAAAAACTCTGATTTAATAGCGCGTACACACCAGAGACGCGTTGCAGCTACAACAAGGCCTAACTTCATAGCCTTAAAACAAAAGAGTTAAGACATGAAGGGATCCAATGATACTGATTCCTTTGGAACCTCTGTATACTCCTCTTACGACATGTTTAACCTGATTTTCTATAACCTTAGCTTTCCTCAATGCATAGATCTCTGCATGAGACGGTACGTCTTGTACTTCCAGTAAAAGCATCCTCTCATACCACTTTAATTAAAACCCAGAAGGAAAATGGTCTCGTTTCTTGCTGATTTTCTCTTAACACACATTTAAGGTAGTATCATCATTTTGCTTAATTTTTCGTCTCTTCCGTTTCCACTGGACAATTAGGGACCTTAAGCAACGACAACGGAAGGGTCTAGTACGGTGACCGGAAGTATTTTTTTTCCCGCCACGCGTCAAAGCCTCAAGTTCAAGGTACCACGACGGCGACAGCGGTCAAAACGTCGGTTTTAATTAAAAGTGAATTCGCATTCTTTCAAACTTTTTCGCGATTATTACAAGTCACTTATTTTGAAAAAGAAAAGTTCGTCTTCGTTTTTCTACGTCCGCAATAAAACGTAAAATTAGGCATTTTCACGTCGTGGTCGTGCAGTGATGGCAAAGAAATGTTAAGAAAACAATAAAGTGCACGTGCAAAGTTGTTGATTTGCTAATTAAACTTACTGACTCGCCGTACTACGCTTTCCGAATATGTAGAAGATAATGGCCGGCCGTAGTGTCTGTTACGTTAAGTACTTAGTTGTATTTTACGTGCTTAGAACGCCAGTGTATATTTAAAACAGAATCGCAAGATATACCCATTTTATCCTTTTTTGGTCATCCTTGGAAATTCCTTAACGCTCATTTTTCCATCATGAGCCTTAAATTTCGGTGTCAAGCACCTCACCCAAGTGAAAAATACAGCCAAATACGCAAAATAAAGTTGACGGGAAAGAAGATATTTCATAACGGATATCATCTCACCAAATGGCGTGAATAAGAACTGATAAAACACAAGCAAGCCCTGAATTGAATATTTGCCCATGCATCGCCCCTTTTTTACGAATGAATTGTTTTAAAACATTTCTTCGCCGTGGGGGCTCACTGCACGGCTTCAACCTCTGGAGAGTTCGCCAACATTTGACAAGCAAGCGACTTGGAATAATCGCCATGAAGACTGAAAGAACGCGAATACAATTTTAAGCGACGTTTTCACCGCTGTAGCCTTCGTGGTATCTTAAAATCTCTGACTTGAGGCATTGACGGGTAGCGAAAAAAAAATTACTTCCGGTCATTGAGGTAACGCCACGGTGCTATTCTTGGAAAACGACGCCTGTTTCCGGGAAAGAGGGAGCTACACTGAACTGATCGTAGTGGCAAAATCTTTGTCGCCTACATGAAGTTGTTCAACTGAAAAGGTGGCCTTCATAACTTGATTTAAAGATAGTTGTAACTCGAAAATCATCTAATCTAAATGCTGAGTGCTCAGGTTAACTCCTGAATGTTAAAGTTGTCAGCATTATGGCCGGAAATCTTGTGCAGGTAGTTAAACATTGACGATAATGGCGGATAGGATGTTACATAGTGTGTTACAAGATTTTGAAGGAGACAGGATAGCAATGTCGTATCAGGGGGAACTGGCTGCTTTAAGAAGACAAGAAAATTGTAATCTTTAGTACGGGAAAGAGGCAACTGACATCCCTGAACAACGATGGGAACTGGCCATCTTTATTCAGAAAGCTGAATAAAGATCTTTGTAAACCTCACTACGTTTGTTTTGCCCCAAATAACTATCTTGTTGTTTCGGACATTGAAGATAAGTGTGTCAAGATTTTTACCTTGGAAGGAGACCAAGAACAGGTAAACCGATTTGTTATTGGCTATAACGCTATATGAGGTCTGATTGAACAAGATGTAAACGCTATGAAGAAAGAATTTAGTTCAAGAATACAACTGAATATGGTGACTGAATTTAGAAACAGTTCGAGTTTCTCACAACATTATATGGTAGGCCGGAGTCGTCCCCTGAGTCTATTCCAGCTATTTGTCACATGCGGTACTGATATTTTTATCAGCATGGACTAGGATAAACAAAGTCTTATAAATTACTTTCTTCGCCAATGGTTTGGTGCTTTGCTTTGTGGAACTGATGAAAAGGAAATGATGTGCGATGAAGCAAGCACGGTTGGAGATCACAACACTGTCACAAAGATAGCCATAAGGTTGGAGGCTTCAATCCACTTGTAATTAGTAAAACTCACTTCTGTCGCATGTTCTATCACGTTTCAGAAACACGCCATGCTGGATTTCTGTGTCTTCACAGATTGTAGTGCAACATTGAAAAGCGAGGAAACAAAAAGAAATTTCTCATTTATGTATGGTAGGAAAACAGCACTCAAGGTGAAAAACTGTACACAGAAATTGATTAACTTATTTAATGTTTATTGCTCGACTGGCAGCATAAAATTGCAGATCTATCTATGCCAGTTGTACAAAGTCGATATTGACGTACCGCATAAAATTTCTCTTGCACAAGACATTACAAATGCTCAACTGGGCATGAAAACCTTGCTTTCTTCTGATATTGAAGTTATTGCTATGTCACAAGAAAGTTGGACGAAACTTGATGAATTTGCCGACATTGAATTACCAGAATACCAAGAGAGTGCACGACAAAAGCTAGACAAACATATCGACAACTTCCTTTCGAAAATGAAGAGAATACAGACTGCCACACTGCTGTACAGGTTTGCAAACGGTCAGAATATTTTTTAGATCGATGTATGAGTGGCACTGAACTGAACTATAGAAATATGTACCAAATGGGGTTACGTATGTAAACCATTTACTGAAGTTAAGAAAGGAAACTTTGATATCAGAGTACATCAGTAACATACCATAAAGGACGGGGTTAGACGGAGTCCCTGTTTTAAAAGCTTAGTATAGTCAAGATTCAATTAGTTGACCAAGTCAATAAAACCGAATCATCCACATGTTAATTACCTTCACTGATGCAGTTTGCCAATAAGAAAACAGTGTTCCTAGTGACGGACGATCGAAAGTATCATTTTTCTGTCATAACTGCAGAATCGAGTAGGAGAGGGATTTTTTTAGATTTAAGGTATTCCACGTGTGTTTCATAAAAAGTGAAAAAGTTTAAATGAAAATAACGCCAAACTTTGAAGTGTTAATTCCGTTAAATTCATACACTTTCTGTCTTTTTCTAGCGGTCGTTCAATCTTGGCGAACCTGAAAGTCAGTGAAAAGCTTAATTCGGTTTCCGGGTGTTCATTAGAGGTGCTTTTGATATTTGTTGTGTCCTGTCATAACAAATCTTGAATTGAGAATGATGTTGTTTTTAATATGTCATTCTACTGTTATGCTTAATACATCCAAACATAACCACCATATAAGGCTAGGACTAATGCAAAGAAAAGTAACATAAGAAAATATAATAGATGAAAAAAATCAGAGTTGAGGGTTTCAATAGCACACAACTACAACAAACGTATAAAGAGTTAGCTGCCATGAGATCAGTGAATTCATATGAGGAGCTTGACCCGACTAAATCAACCCACATGTGTGTCACTGAGACTATTTTTGGAAAATAGGTCATCGCCGGTTTTCCCTAAAAGGGGGGCTTTTCTGGGAGTTATGACATAATCATTTTAGTATATTTAACCGAATGTCAAAGGAAAGTGCTCAGTAATCTTTTTTTTGTTCAGTGTTCCGCATCGTTTCCGCGGCGTTTCGAACCAGCTGTCGCTGTTGTGAGTGATTTAATTCTCAAATCATATTTTGAATACAAGTCCTTTCTTGATTATCATATGTTGACTGAAATACAGTGGGGTTGATGGATTATCGACGACTTTATACACCAGGTGACTGTACTTCAATGCAGTGCAAAATTAAAGAAGAGTGCGATAAAATGAGTATTGTTCATGATCACAAAGATAATCACAAAGTTGGTGGGCAGAATCCTTTGGCAGTTACAAAAGGACAGTTTTGCGCCATGTTTTATCATGTTGCTGAGAGAAAGAGAGATAAAATTTGCTTTAAATGCCTGGAAAAGTCGGTGTGTCGGGTCGGGAATTTAAAGATCACGAAGCGTTTGCGCTCGAATCCAAGAGGTCGCGCCCTAACTGTTGTAATGTATGTTCGGTTGAGTGACCTAATGGGTCGCTTGATATTCCACGCCAGATATGGAAATTGTTTCCAGGGTAAAAGGAGAGATACAATCCATGCAGAGCATTTTATGCTTGAAGATGAAGAGTTCAAACAATATGTGAAACTCTTAGGAGATCATAAAGGAGGAAACATTGAGATGTTCATGAACAAACAGCCTTGCTTTAGATCAACTAGAGTGAAGAGAAAGGAGTGCGCCCAAGAACTGGTCAATTTCTACCAATCATTTTGCTTATCACATGGAATTAAACTCACTGTAAATCTTTGCCAGTTGTCCAGAGTTGATGTTGACATACAGCTCCCTTCGCCTTCTCTAAACAACGATATTCAGAATGCTCGCCAAGGGATGCAAATGATGATGTCTGCTGGTATTGAGCTCAAAGCTATGGATGAAGAAAGCTGGCGAAAACTTGCAGGCTATGCAAACATCATATTGCCTGAGTACATTGATGGTGACCGGCAAAAGTTAGATCAACATATTGAGGAGTTTCTCCAGGGCATAAAGCCGACTCCGTCAGTTCTCCAGCCTTAACCCCTGTAAGGGAGTAGTGTCAATAAGCCGACTCTGGACCAACTCTAAAATACCATTTTCCGTCGTGTATTCCAGGGTTTTTCCCCTCATTCATTTTATAGATTTAGTCCATTTCATTCCTGTTTATTTCTTTCATCCATTTTTTGTCATTACCCCAAATTTGAAAGTAAGGAGTTAAATTTTATGACTTTAATGTATTTCATTTTACTACGAAAATTCAGACTAATTAAAGTCGGTCACTACTTGCATAAATTTTAAAAAACTCATAAAAACTATAAAATTATAAAAAAATGTGAATATGCCTAAGATTTAAAAGAATACGACATCGGCCCTTTCGGGGCCTCAGGGAAAAAACGGGAAAATGACGGAAAATAGTATTTTAGAGTTAATCCAGAGTCGGCATAAACACATTCAATATTTTTACATTACAAGGGAAATCTCCTATTGGCAATTTTGACTTTGTTGAATATTTGATGGTTTGCAGGGGTTTTGTCCCGTTTTTTAACCAGTCAAAGTGATTGAAGAACAAGATAGAAAAAGAGAACTATTTTCTCATTAATTAGTTTATGATCCAGAAAATTAGAAAACAATATTGACAGAGGAACATAAGGATAGGAAAATAAGAATGAAAATACGGTGGCTTTCATTTTAACGATGAACAAACACAAACTGAAGAGGATGGAAGAAAATACATAGAAGTTATAGAATATGAAGAAATGGATTGATTTGGTGATTGTTTAGAAGAGATAAAGGATAATATTATCTTGATGAGCTTGAGAAAGAAAACAGAAATTGAAAGGACTGTAAGAGAAAGATCTTGAACTTTGATCATGATGATGAAGAAGAAGAGGATTAAAATAATTCATAAGCCCTTCGGGGCTTTTCTTTATGCCGATCATGTTTTACAACTTTATCTAACATTGTAATAAAATGGCCAACGATAAAACGATTGTAAATCTTGTACTTAATTATAACAGTAATGAAATTAAAAACAAAGATGAACCTAAAAGTAGCAAAAATACTTACGGGTATTAAAAGGCCCTCCGGGGCCCAGTTGCCAGTGAGTCTAGTAAGATTGTAGTAGGAAGAAAGGACACTCAATTCACTTTTAGGGCTTCTTCATATGAGCCCGGTTGACAGGGCTGGCCCTGTTTCTGAGATCTCGCCTGAGCTCTAAAACATGCCTTTGTAAAATTTTCGATGTGTTCATATGAGAGGGACGCACGGACACGTTTAAACGAGTTCATATGAACTCCTATGTACTTCGTGGGTAAACAAGAATTAATTCAATTTTAATTTTAATGTAGGGCGGGCCAACTCGGTTCCCGAGATCTCGGTATAAGCGGCCGGAAATTTTGCCATAGGAACACTTCATCCCGGTTACCGGGATGAACGGTGGGATGAATTCTTGCGGTCCGGATGGCATCGTCCTGCATTAACTGCTGTATTTTCCACATCATAAGTATCCCATTTAACTGCAGGAGTGATATAGCTTGAAGAGTTACAAAAGCGATGATAGGCCCGAAAGTTAAAATTTTTGTGTTTCGCCTTGTTTCCTTTGTTTCTCGAATTTGGCGCCAGAATTCGTCCTCAGGATATTTGGCCTTTTCTCATCTCGGAAACCGCGGGCTGAAATTTCTCATATGAACTCAGGGCGAAATTAATCCCGGTAACCGGGCTCATGCGAAGAGGCCGTTAATACCTTACACTTTTTATCTTTCTTTCTATCTTGGAAAAGTCTGAAAACCGTATATCCAAGAAAGTCAGTTAAAATGCATGATTCGGTGTCGTGTTCAAACATGTTCAAAGGAAGTCCTTTTAATTATTATTATGTCCTGCAATAACAAATCTTGTATTGAATGGTACTGTCAAGGATGAGCATGCTACTGTTATGCTAAAATGTCACGAAGACATAACAACCGTATAAGGCAAGGCCTGATACAAAGGTAAGTAGTATAACTGGTTACTTCATCACACAGCCAATCAGAATCGAGTATTTCAAACACGTGCTGAATTAATTCACTCTCGACCAATCAGCGTCCAGGATTTCATGGGTTAGTACTACATGTAAAATCATCACGAAAAGTCTCCCAACATTTCCCCGTCATGTAAGACACACGAAAAGTCACGTTTCAACCAATTTTATTCTGACGACATACCTGACGTTACAATCGGGACGTGTGTGACCTCCTATTGACGTCACGCCAATTTCGTTTTAAAAAGTTTAAAAAGTCATCAAAAAAATGGCCGGGAAAGCGGTGGTTCGGTGGCCATCGCCGGTACTGGCTAGAAAGTTCTTGCTTGGTTGGAGCAGAGTCTGATCAGTCGGGTGGACTCGGCTCACAGGTTCGAATCCTGTCAAGAACAAAATTTTTTTATTTACAAATCTAATAAAATGTCCACATTAGAGAGATTAAGATTCACGTTTACGGCATACGGCAAACGGCAAACGTCAGTTGAAAATTTCTCAGGATAGAAAATAAGCAGATAAAAACAGTCCAGAACGATTCTTGTGGATAAAACTGGCATAAAACTACCTATTTTTGTGTAGAAGCAATAAACAATAAACGAAAAATAAGGGGGAAAACTTGGTCACGTGGTACAAATTCACGTTGGCGGTTTGGCGTAAACGTGAATCTTAATCTCTCTATTTTCTTGATCGCACTCTGACCATACTCTGTATCCAAAAGGATAACTGAAAATTCTATAGAAAACAACAGATGGTTTTAAAGTAAACCCTAACTCTTTTGGTTCTTAAATTAACTCCATTCTTGTTCCAAATGAGTGGAAAGTCTATTTACAAAAATAGGAATAAGAGGTGCGATCGCCTGGCAACACATGTCTTCTTGTTTAGCGCTAAAAATCGGATATGTAAACAAAACACACATACACACACATACAAAGAGTGGAGCTGAAAACTCTCTATTTCAATTTTGACTCACCATTACGAAAGCGTTTTCTCCGTTCTATCTCGAGGAAACGACTAACTATTGAAATCTCAGCGCTTGAGGAGCTTACAGAATAGAGAAGAAATAATAGAAATAAGTGCTGAGGGTTTCAATATCACACAACTAAAACAAACTTATAGCATTACATTAGTCATTACGAGCCACTGAGAACAGTCTGGAAAGGAAATGTAACGTATCACTTGTGTGTCGCTGAGACTATGTTTGGAAAAATACGTCACCGTTTTCGCGGAAACAATGGCTTTTCTAGGAAATATGAAAAATTTATTCATATGTAGTCGAATGTTTTTTTGTGTATGTCAGTGTGTCTTGAATCGTTCAGGCAAACCTTTCGAACCTGCTGTTAGTACAGTTTGTGGCTGGTTTGATACTTGTACTCTCTTCAATTTTCTCCAATCTTTCGAATAGTGCTGCCCGTGACCTTTTCCAAAGGGTTTGATAAAAGTACTTCGGTCTACTCAGTAGCTGAAAATCACGATAGGTGATCGAGGCGAAATGAGCGAAATAGCGTTGGCCATTTCTGATGAAGGACGACTAGCAGTTGTCAAAAGAAGTGAAAACCGAGTCGAGCTGCATAATGGAGCGGATAGTAAAGATACAACGCAGGTAAATATAACGACAAAACAAAATCTTATAAGACCACACAACGTTTGTTTTGCCCTGAACAACCACCTGCTAATCACGGATGTCGGTGACCGCAGTATCAAGATATACAGCTTAAACAACGAAGAGCCACAACTTGTGCGTAAAATCGTTTGCTACGAAAAGAAAGCACAAGCTATAATCCAGATGGAAACTCCTGGAGGCCTTCTTTCTGCTCTTTCGTCGCCAGATAAATACCTGACTCCTTTTACTGTAACTGTTGGACCGAGTCCACTTTCTCAGATTTTCGCTGTTTTTGAAAACTTAATTTTTATGATTACTATTGACTGGAATACAGTGGAGTTGATGGATTATCGACGGCTTTCCACACCGAGTGATTGGACTTCCGTGCAATGTAAAGTTAAAAAAGAGTGCGATAAAACGAGTATTGTTCATGACCACAAAGATAATCACAAAGTTGGAGGGCAGAATCCTTTGGCAGTTACAAAAGGACAGTTTTGTGCCATGTTTTATCACGTCACGGAGAGAAAAAGAAGCAAAATTAATTTCAAGTGCTTGCAAAGGAAGAAATGCCGGGTTGGGAAGATGGCAAAGCCGCACTCGAACCCAAGAGCCGACTACGCCGCAACTGTCGTAGTGTATGTTCGGTTGACTGACCAAATGCGTCGCCTGATATTCCACGCTAGATATGGGAATTGTTTTGAAGGTGAAAGGAGAAATACAATTCATGCAGAGTATTTTATGCTTGTAGATGAAGAGTTCAAACAAGCTGTGAAACTCTTAGGAGATCAGAAAGAGGGAAAAATTGAGATGTACATGAACAAACAGCCTTGCTTTCGATCAACAAGACACCACAGTAAGATATCTGGAGTGAAAAGAAAGGAATGTGCACAAGACTTGGTCAATTTCTACAATTTTTATTGCTTATCACGTGGAATTAAACTTACTATAAATCTTTGCCAGTTGTACAAAGTTGACATGCGTCCTTCGCCTTCTTTTGAAGACGATATTCAGAATGCTCGTCAAGGCATGCAAATAATGATGTCTGCTGGTATCGAGCTGAAAGCTATGACAGAAGAAAGCTGGCGACAACTTGCACGTTATGCAGACATAGAGTTGCCACAGTACACCGATAGTGACCGGCAAAAGTTGGATCAACATATTGCTGAGTTTCTCCAGCGTATGGAACCCCTACCTGTTCCGTCAGTTGAGGTGCACAACCAAAGTACTCAACATTAACTCTATTGGGGCTGTGTCACCAGGATATTATTGCCGTTTTCGATCAATTTTGTGGTAAAATCATGATCATTACTTAGTGCTTTTACACAAACACAAAAAGCTGCTGTAGCGTTATTTATTTATTTATCACAATTTAATGGCAGCACCTGCAACTATAAAGAAAAAGGAATGGAAGCATAGTGCCATAAGGATAATCCACAAAAGAGTCCGAGACCCCATACGAGGCAGATCTCCTAAAAATAGACTACATAATAATTCATCAATAAGGGTAACAAGATTGAAAATAAAACCCAAAAAAATATTTTAAAAATACATAGAGTTTAGGCAGATTTATATACTCATCACATTACTTTTAAAATTCTTCAAATTAGGACTATTATACTAAAATACTAGTATGTAAAACACTATCCTGTTGAGTAACTGTAGCATTGTATATAAATGTTACCACAGTAAAACCCCGCGTATAAGAACCTTGAGTTCCTTAACAGGTTCTTATATAAGTGGTACTTAAAGCAAATTTAGACTACCAAGGTTCTTAAAATAGGTTCTTATATTTTCATATGAATTTTATTTAAAAATATTATAAATATCATCTCATAATACAACATACAGTAATGCCTTAAGGCAGTACAGTGCAGGTATGTCCTTAACAAAACATAACAAACAAACTCATAGTCAGTTATCTGAAATGCCATTTCAAAGATGATACCAAGAAAATCATGGGACAAATAGAGTACATTCAAAACCAGTTCCACTGATCAGAACCTAACTTAGCCTTAATAGGTTCGTACGTGGAGGGGGCTTAAAATGAAAATTAAATTAATTAACAATTCTGTTGGGTGAACGGGGACCATACAACAGAGCCATGTTCTAACTGAGATAAGAAAAAAAGAGCAAAGTGTGTCTTAAGAGTTTTGACGTCGGCAAATCCCGTACAGGTACGAGATATTAGGCCCAGCATCTTGATAGCTTTGGAAACAATACTGTGCTCAAGGATATTCCAAGATAAGTTACTATCGACGAGCAGACACAAGTCGTTAAATTCGGAGACCACTTTAAGAGGTGATTCATTCATACAGAGATCACTCTCTACTGCTTGCGCTTTTTAGATATTCTCATTACTTTGCATTTCTTAATGTTAAAATCCATTCTGTCCAATTTACTCCAAGACCAAAGATTATTAAGGTCTTCTTAAAACAATGCGTGACCTTGAGAATTGTCAATTACCATCGAAGTTTTGCAGTCGTCAGCATAAAGGGCAATGGTATTACCAGGATAGACGACATCAGAGAGATTACCGATGAAAATGACAAAAAGAGTGGGCCCTAGATAGATCCTTGGGGAACTCTAGATGTAACATTAGACCAGGAAGAGTGCT